TGTCCTAAAAGCGGTCCACAGTGCTTCTTAACCATATATTAACTTTATATAATGAACAGTGAATTGTAAGCTGTGTTATTCACTGAAAAACATGAATTCTTGGATTCATGTGAATATAATCTTTTTAATGAATCTAGTTCACAAAACCAGTCTGAATGATTCGTTCACAAATCAGAGTGATCCAGTTCTTCACTCACTGACTAGAAGATCTAGTTGCAATGTTTAAGGAATAATTACCTACATTTAAATAAATTTCTCACCCAAAGCTATTATAATATGTCCAGAAAACTATAAAAAATATAATCATACAGACCACTTTTATGATAATTTTATGGAGCTTTTCCATTCATTTTCTGTCCATTGTAACTGTATGAATAAATGGGGACCAGCACATTATTCAAAATTTCAGAGGAAAAAAGGTTTAGAACAACATGAAGAGGAGTGAATCATGACAATTTTCATTTTTGGGTGACTATCCCTTTAAAATTGTTCTGAAACAGCTAGCTGATGGCAAGAATCTAGTTTAATAAACCTGACAGAAGACCTTGTGAAACCTCTTGATGATTTTATCACCACTGAAAAGCACAAAGACAGCGGAAAATAAAGATACAGAGGAAAACACAGACAAAAAAAAAGAAACATATACAAAGACAAGACAAAGTCACTCTCTAATTCTCTCTCTCTCTCACACCCACACACACAAACATCCACAATCTCTCATTAATTCATATCACATTCAAACAATACAAAGACACCAAAGACTCCACAAACACAAATACAACACATCTAATGAAAATGGCCACAATACAACACCTACAGGGACATATACAATACACACATATATACATTTATATATGGACGCTGGGACATGAGAAACACCAGAAAAATAGCACTGTAGCTCAGAAAGCAGAGTGACAGCCGTGTGAGATAATATACATGTGTGCATATTCCCTATGTTTTATGTCTGAAACTGGACAGTATTTGTGAGATACAGGATTTTAAGTAGCACCACCCAAGACATCACACACTGAAACGCAACCATTGCGCTTAAAAGAACACCATCACTTCCCAGCACCACCCTCTTCATGCCCAACATTAAATTAAAATAAAAAAAAACTTAAACTTAAAAAAATAGCAATGGTGGCTAAATGAAATAAAAGCATCAAAATTAATAAAACTAAAACTGAAATTAAAGCTAAATAAAAATAAAAATGACTAATAATAAAATGACAGCACATAACAATTACTAAAATGTTAAATAAAATGAAAACTGACCATCTAAATTTAAAATCTGATTCAAAATGTCAAAATATTAACAATATTCGTTAGCGGTGTGATGAGATCTCGTGGCATCTGACTGGCATGACGATATCCTCACGCAGACCTTTCAGATATATTTGCATTACACTGGCTCGTTCACCAGTGGTGGTATGTAAGATATTTTATGTTACATCAGGCAAGTGGCCGAATGATAAGAGGAAAAATTACGCAGTGTAGTCTTTATCCAGTCATAAAAACTGAATTCACAGTTTAACACTGAATGTCACGGAATTTGTCAAATTTTGAATGAAGTAATCAAAAGTAGGTCATTACACAAATCAAATCATGATATGGACTAGTATCTGTAAATATTAAGCGGCAAAAGTCAATTTAAATATGAATCCTGCATGTTCTGCCTGTCTCTGTTAATGAATGGTGCAGACGCGCGGTTTCATTTACTACACACACTGAAGCACGCGTAACACTCGCGGTGATTTCAGCATCTGCCGTCTCAATAAATGAGGACGTAAACACATGAACAACATCTCCAGAACTGCTCTGAGAGTCACTTCATGAGCATTTTAGCTTTTGAGTAAAACTAGCGTCATATCACATACACAGAACTGTAAAGGAATTCACGGCAACCCATCAAAATAAAAGTCCGGTTTGATTTGAAGACATTGTGCCTATAACTATTTTTCAGTAGAATGTACATAGCCTACTACTACTACTAAAATGAAACAAACATTATTTTTTAAGGAATAATCACACAAAACAATTCTTCCTTGTTTGCTTAATTTTCAATAATTAAAAGATAAATGATAAATTAAATTAATATTTTATGCCTTCATTTGATAACCAGAAAAATGTAAAAAAAAAAAAAATCATAAGGCTACTTTAAGAAAAAAAATGAATAAATTAAGTTGTTGTATGCATTCAGATAATTAGACATGCTAAAACACAGAACTTGGTAACAATAAATAATATGGTGAGAAAAAATTTAACATTTCATAGGGCCCTAAACATTTAACAATTTTTGTTAAACTTTTAATAAATTGATGTGAAAATGTGTAAGTTTCATGATTTTAATGAATTAGACATGCTTTTTAATTAATACAATTTAATTTAACTATTAAAAAGGAGTCGAGAAAAATTAAAATGGAAAAAACGAAATTTGGATTTTGCTTTATTCTTTTAAATTGATACATTAATCGTGTTTATAATATATTTTTTTATTAAAGTAGAAATCAGTTTACTAAATAATGTAAACTTGACTGACTGCTTCACTTTCACTTTAAAGGGATATTTATGTTGTTTATTATTTATTTTTATTTATGCTATTTATAATTTTTGTGCAATTACTTGCCTGTCAGTTGAGTTTGTGGCAAAACATTTTGCAGTGTTTACATGTTGTTTATTACTGCATAAAATTTATTAAAATAGAGGTTTAATTTCATAAAGTACAAGTTGATTTCAAAATGCACCTACTTTTTTGCATTTTGTGTTTTTCAGTTGAATAAAAGACTATTTTTCCCTATATATTTCATCATTGAGGATTTCTTTAAAAAAGTTAAAAAATCTCGTCTCGTCTCTTTCTCGTGAACCCAGTCTCGTCTCGTCTCGTGGGATAAGTGTCTTGTCACACCCCTAATATTCGTATAAAAATACACTATTATTATTAACAAAACACTAGAGTCTGTTCTATTTGTACAAGCAGACAATAAAGCTGTTGAAGTTTTGAACATTGTTGTTGAACATTTTAAGTGTGATGCCAAAAAGTGACGGTCTGTTCCTTTAACAAGTCATCAACCTTCCTACCCACAAAAACGAATCACTAATACTGATTTGGCTTGTAATCAGTAAAGCCAAGGCAGTGGGAGCTTTACTTCATTACACAAAATCAGCAAGGCACAAAGATGCTCTTTTTTTCTGAACTGATCTTGATGAAAACTCTTAAACCAGCACAATATTGTCAAACTTTTGAGAAGGACAGTTTTGTCCTCACAGCACTTCAAGGAATCAAGTCATTATGAAGTAGAACACAAGCAAACAGGAGATCACATCTTGCCATACTTGCCTCTACAAGTTTCTATGGAGACAGAATGGAAGAACAAGCGTTAGACAAACCAGCTGATGGATTTCTGCAGGTCTGACTGCATTTACACACATTTGGATGTGAGACCACAGATTGATGGTCAACACAAACACACAACAAAAAGGTTGTTTTCTCAGCAGCAGAGTCCTCGGGGTTTTGTTTCAGATAAGCAGGGGAAAAAAGGGGGACTGTTAATGTTATTAAGGTTAGCTGTACGACCTCAATTCACATCAAAGACAACATATAGTGAAACCTCGCAAAAAACAAACGTCAGTGCCATTACAATAAATTAAACTGCATGGGAAAATATTGTCTTAGCTGTTATGCTTTCACAAAATTTTCCTGTCATGATACGTCAATAATTTAGCCTATTTCTGGTATTTGCAGTTCATATTAATATTACTACTGTACATTTCATATAAGATTTCATCTTATTTGAAATGTCATAATCATATCATATGTCAGTAAGATTTTTTTGGGGGGAACGAAACTAATTACTTTATTCATAAAATATGCATTAAATTGATCAAATGTGACAGTAAATACATTTATAATGTTACAAAAATTACTATTTTAAATAAATGCTGTTTTTTAACTTCCTGCTCAAAGAATCCTGAATAAAATGGTCTCATTTTACACAAAAATACAAATCACAATTGACAAGAAATGTTTCTTGAGCAGCAAATCAGCATACTAGCATGTGACACTGAAGACTGGAGTAATGATGCTGAAAATTCAGCTTTGCATCACAAGAATAAATTACATTTTAAAATGTATTAAAATTGAAAACAGTTCATTTGAATTGTAATAATATTTCACAATATTACTGTTTTTACTGTACTTCTGATCAAATAAGTGCAGCCTTGATGAGCGTAAAAGACTTCTTTTACATTATTTAATATATTTGATATATTTTTATATTGTTTACATTTGAAATGTAAAAAATATATATACGGTAATTAATATATAAAAATGTGTTAACTAAAACTTTTCTTGACAAACTAAAATAAATGTAAACAGAAATATTTAAAACTATGGCAAAAGCACATAAGAATACTAAAACGTATAGTAAAATTATAAAATAAAAGCTATTTCAAAATATCAATAAATACTATAATAGTTTATAAACAACGTTTGACTTGTATAATTAAATATACAAAATATATATAAAAATATCTATTTAGTTACATTTGTAAATATATACTGTAGAAATGCAGTTAGGAACTACAATATGTAATATATATATTACAATATATATATATATATATATATATATATATAAATATATATCAATGCTACCAGACAGACTAAAAACCACAAAACATTTTGATTTCATGGAGACTGCAAAGTGGTAATTCATATAAAATATATAAGTAAATAATAAGAAGAGGTTCTTAAAATACATATTTACATCTCATCAAATAATATCACACAATGAGCATATGAACCGTGTCTGAATATTTAATTTGTATTTTTTATTTAATTTTTGTTACTTTTGTACAATGCAATGAACAATTTTGTTACTGTTGAGTCGCCACTTAATATCCAATGTAAAATCTGGGCTCTGAAGCAAACCAATTAGAGATCCACTGATTAAATCATAAAGGGTTACTAAAATTCATGCATTAATCTAGTTAACATATACTCTTGTGGATATAATTTGTGTTGGGCACCAGACATGTTTTTCTTGCAAGGCTTCTAAACTTGGAAAGGCGAATACGGTTGTACTTACGTTGACTTCAGTGATAGCAATATCTACGACGCTACCGACAACAATTAAGGCGTCAAACGTGTTCCATGCATCAGTGAAATAATGCTGTTAATAAAAGACACACCACACACAAGGAGGAGGGGGAAAGAAATGATTGGAGAAAGAATGAGGGTGAAAAGAAAGAAATACAGATGTTAGATCTCAGCAGTCAAAGAAATCAGCTGTCAGTTGAAAAGTAGCTCATCCCGAGCTGAAAGCGAGTCTGTCTGAAGTAAAGGGCTGAGACGGGTGAGCAGATATTAAGAGGGGACAGGGCCTACAACTGTGCTGTACTTACATCAATCTCACTCAGCACTATGTCTACAATGCTGCCGATCACAACCAAAGCATCAAAGACGTTCCAGGCGTCCCCAAAATACCCCTGAGAAACGCAAAGGGGCGGACGGCCAGAAAATATATGTGATGATTAGCAATAGGTTGCTGTACATATCTGATTATGAAGAAATTTTTATTTAAAAAAAACCACTGATATTAGCTTCCCAGCTACCAAAAAATGCATTCTAAGAATCAAATTATGAAAACGTTATTTCTTAATGTTCTCAGTATTGTTTTTTTTCCTAAAAACTTTATTTATTGGTTGTTTGAACCATGGTTATCTAAAAGTTAAACCATACAACAACAACAAAAAAATTTATTTTTGAAAAAAAAATAAAAATACATTAAATAAAAAATAATAATAAACTAATGGAAATGCAATAGAACATAAAAAACACCTTTTATATTCTATTTGAAATTTTTAAGATATTTAAGATTTATTCTATTCCATTTTACCAAGCAACATTTTTAATTTTCATTTAATTTATTCAAATTAAAAATTTAAACTGGAAATATATATATATATGTGACCCTGGACCACAAAACCAGTCTTAAGTGTCAATTTTTCGAAATTGAGATTTATACATCATCTGAAAGCTGAATAAATAAGCTTTACATTGATGTATGGTTTGTTAGGATAGGACGATATTTGGCCGAGATCTGAGGGTGCAAAAAAATCAAAATACTGAGAAAATCGCCTTTAAAGTTGTCCAAATGAAGTTTTTAGCAATGCATATTACTGATCAAAACAAGTCAAATCGAGTTTTGATATATTTACAGTAGGAAATTTACAAAATGTCTTTATGGAACATGATCTTTACTTAATATCCTAATGATTATGATCTTAAAAATATAAAGATAAAACTCATTAAAAATATTAATAAATTTGATATGATCTCAATGATACAAAAATGAATTTGAATGTTAGAAAAACAACAAGGGAATGTTAAATTGTTGAATGTTCCGAAGGTAAAAATCAATAGTAGTAATGTTAAAAAAGAAAAGAAAAAATATTTAATATTTTAAATGTTTCAGTAAAGCGTTTCATGAACAATGTATAAATAACATTTTTGTGCCAATAATGTTATTAATGCCTGGAACATTTTGAACAAACTTTCATATTTTATAACATGAGAGAAGTTTGCCAGAATGTTAGTCTCTTAGTTCTGAGAACATTCCTTGTTAGATAGGTTATTACAGCATCAATCAACACAAAGTATTAATATTAAATAGAAAGTTTACTATATTATACAATAAGAACTTCATGCATTTGTCTTGTACTGATGTCAGTCTAAAGACTGAATGTGGTAAAGAAACACTGCTAGTCACGCCACACAGAAAAGCTGAAAACGACAGCACTGCAAATCACACTGAGCTGCTTACTAGCATTCTGTCCTTCTTCTCAACACAAATCTGCATGTGTCAAAGCAGACAGTGGGGCAGAGCGATGTTAACATGATAACATTGGGATGATATAAGTGGAACAGTATGATATATTGAGTAGGGAAGCGTATTTATACTGCGCTAATTATGTGATTATGTGCGACGGCTGTATCTGGGTGTTTGAATTACTCACCCGGGGTTTGAAGGCGATCAGTTTGAGTACCATCTCCACAGTAAAGACGGCAGTGAAGCCCATATTCAGGATGTCCATAACATAATTGAACAGCTCGGACTGACCGTAGTGCTGGACAGAGAAATGTGCGATATTAAATTGTAGAAATGTTAATGGAATGTATTGTAGAAAAATTGTAGAAATGGCAATTTATTGGACAAAAAATACTATACACTCTGTTAACTAAAATAAAAATAAAGTTAAATAAAATTATTGAAAACTAATAAGGCAAAAGCACATAAAAATACTTAAATTAAAATGAAAAACTATTTCAAAATATCAATAAATACTATAATAGTATGTAAATAATGTTTGACTTGTATAAATAAATATACAAAATATATCTAAAAATATATATTTTTTTACATTTGTAAATATATACTCTAGATATGCAGTTAGTAACTACAATATGTAAAATATATATTACAATATATTTTTTTCAAATGTAGATTTTATATCTCAATGCTAACAGACAGACTAAAAGCCACAAAACAACATTTTGTTTTCATGGGGACGGCATAGAGGTAATTCATATAAAATATATAGGTAAATATTAATGTGAGGTCCTAAATATACATATTTATATCTCACCAAATAAAATTACACAATGAGCATATGAAGCGGGTTTGAATATTTAAACCCAAACAATTATTATTTAAACACAAAACACTAATTCTACTTGTAAATATCTAAGAATAAAGAAAGTTACCTGAACGGCGAGACAGATGGTGTTGAGTAAGATCAGGACAAACATGATGTACTCGAAGCCGGTGGAGTTCACCACATACCAAAACTTATACTGATACGGGTTCTTTGGGATGTACCTCCTGAGAGGACGTGCTTTTAACGCATACTCCACACACTGACGCTGAGGAACACACAGATTAAACCATGCTTTTCATTCGGTCAATTAACATACAGGGTTTTGGATTTTATCTTAAACTTTCAATTAAGTGGACATCAACTCATATGCATTATAATTTATACTGCAGAAATAAACAGAATACCGAACAAAGAACCTGCAGAAACTCAATGGCTTGGTTCTGAACCGTATTAAGTTCAATTGTTGTCTATATAGGTGGCACTAAAATGGAACCCAAGAGCACTAGAAACTCTGTGAACTAACATTCACAGCTGAAAACCCTGTCAGAAATATTGACTAAAATAATTAATTCACCATTACTTTTCAGTTATGAATGAAAGTTATATTTGATCCACCATCATGAATTTACATTTTGAATCATCGCAATCAGTTTTGTTATTGCTAGCTAAAAATTAAACTGTTATATAATCATTTTTTATTTAAAAAAAATAAAATATGCTGGAATAAAGCTTAAACTGAAGTTGAAAAACTAAGGCCCGGTTTCACAGACAGGGCTTAGACTAAGCCAGGATTAGGCCATAGTTCAATTAAGAACTTGTTTATTTTTATAAACATGCTTAGAAAAAAACCATTACTGGTGTGTTTTTTTGAGACAAAACAAAGGCACTGATATATTTTAAGATCAGTCAGTGCAAGTTTCTTTCAGTTGAAACAGCTCAGACTTACATTTTAGTCTAGGACTAGGCTTAAGCCTTGTCTGTGAAACCGGGGGTAAGACTTTTAGAATTAGAAATAATGCATTAGCAATTAACTGAAATAAATAGTTGCAAAATCTGAAAAATAAATTAAAGCTCTCTCTCTCTCTATATATATATATATATAATTCAAATTAGAAATGTGGCTTTGATAACTGAGATTAAGTACTAAAATCTAAAAAAGAAATAAATAAATAAAAAAATAAAATAAAAATAAATTAAAGCTTTAGTTAAATTGAAATATGAAAAAATTACAAAAGCATGTAATATTATTACTTAAATGTAACTAAATTTAAAATAAAAACATTATATAAAAATTATAATATATAATACAGTGTATATACACACACACACACACACACACACATATATATATATATATATATATATATATTTATTTATTTCTATTCTAACTACTTGATTTCTTTAAAAAGAAAAAAAAGAGCTTCTAACACTAGCACTAGCTATTCTATCTACTAATTTTCTTTTTATTTATTATAAAAATGACCCTCTAACACTAGCGTTCCCTATACTTTTTTCTATTCTATCTACTTGTTTTTATTTATTATATATATATAAAAAAAACCTTGCTACATATACTGTGTCAGGCTAACCGAGACTCACCACAGCACTTACATATTATTGCTCTTTGTTGGTTTTGATTGATTTGTAAGTCGGCAAGCATCTGCTAAATGACTAAATGTAAATGTATATATATATAAAATATAGTACACAAATACTAGAATAAAACAGATTGCTGTGCATTCTGGGACTGCATTATCCGTTAAGGATATATGCAACACTAACTTGTGTTATGAGGATCCTTATAAGCCAGCATCATTTTGTTGCCTAAAAATACAGTTTAGATAAGCAGCACACTGGTTTGTGACACATCCCATGTTCCACATACTCTTAATGTGTCTTCTCTTACCTGGTTCTTGTCCAGCTCACAGTTCTTGTACTCTTTCTCTCCCTGTTCCTGAAAGGTCACGATGACGAAACCCACGAAGATGTTCATCATAAAGAAGGCGATGATGATAATGTAGATGATGAAGAAGATGGAAATCTCCACACGGTAGTTGTAGATCGGACCCAAGTTCTCCCGGTTGGAGTCTATGGCCTTGTACAACAACCTTAGGAAAGACAAAATGTAGAAGTAAACCAAAAGAAATGAGAGCCGAGGAAAAAGTGTACTTCATCACCCACAGTTACAGAACAGCTATATTGTGTTATTCTGTCACAGTGTGTGTGAAACTAAGTGCGTGTTAAACTAACAGAACATTTGAAGCAGTGTGGTGTTGTAATTACAGGGACAGCGTGCTACTGTTGGCATCGAGCTCACAGTGGCACTTACCAACAGCGCCAATACAAACACAATGACACACTCGTTCATTTACCCTGTGGTTTTGAAAATGGAAACTCGACTGTCTGAGTAAGAATGCGCAATTCAAGAACCAATATTAGCTATTTCACAATATCCAATTATATAGAGCCATTTTCAATATCACTAATCTTACAGAGTATTGCTGATTTAAAAAATACACAAAACTATAGGTTGGAAAATAATAAGCATCTGATTATTGCTTATATTACTGAATGAGAATTTTTGTTCCTTTTTAAATGGATGCATAAAGAGTAATAAATGTAAGGTTTTATACATGTGGTTAGTATTTATTGTCTACAAAAATAAAATTAAACAAAGCTGTTATTCTATATCTGATCTATAATTAGGTGAATAAAATAGTGCTATTCTATATCTCATTTATATTACAAATCATAAAAAAATCAATAAAAGGTGCCATTCTATGTTTGATTTATAAGGTGCATACAAATAAAATAAAATAAACAGTGCTGCTCTATATCTGAAGGTGAAGCAAAATAAAACAATTAAATAAAATCGAAAATAAACTAAAATAAAGGTGCTATTCTGTATCTGATGTACATTAAGGTGCACAAAATAAAACAGATTTAGATAAAAAATCAAATAAAGGTGCTATTCTATATCTGATGTATAATATGTTGTATTGTTGAATGCTTACGCTGGCCAGCCTTCAAACGTGGACACTGTGAATAGAGCCATCATGGCCATGAGCACGTTATCAAAGTTGAAATCGCTGTTGTGCCAATGGCGCTTCTGAATGATTGGCTGGTTCACGTCACCTTCCTTATACAGGATATATATTCCCCTGAGAGAGAGAAAACGTTATTTTCACCTCTTTAACAGCTGTTTCCTTTTGCGAATGTTATTACAATAATTGTAAATGTTGTGAAAGCAAGTAGTCTTATTAGAACGGCTTATTTAAAAAGTGCATGATGTTAAGTAGTTAATATCAGTGATTATTAAAATGTTCAGACTTTAGTTTAGACTCACTTGCACTCCTCTGGGCTGGACTTGATTGCATCATTACAACGATAAAACTTCCCCTGAAGAAAAAAAAGAAACGTAAAAAGAAAATTATTCAAATAAATGCTCCACAAAATATTAATCAGCACAACTGTTTTCAACATTGATAATAATGAGAAATGTTACTTGAGCAGCAAATCAGCATATTAGAATGATTTCTGAAGGATCATGTGACACTGAATACTGGAGTAATGATGCTGAAAACTTACCATCACAGGAAAAAAATTACATTTTAAAATATATTCAAATATAGTAATTTTAAATTACAGTAATATTTCAAAATATTAGTGTTTTACTGTATTTTTTATCAAATAAATGCAGCCCGCGTGAGCACTTATTTCATAAACACTAAAAAAATCTTAAAAACCCATGCCATATATGAAATATTTTACCTTGAAGAGCTGTACACCAATGCAGGCAAACATGAACTGTAACAGTGTGGTGACAATCATGATGTTTCCAATAGTTCTGATGGCCACAAACACACACTGGACCACATGCTGCAGAAAGCAAAGGATAAAGCTCAGAGGCTGTCAGACAAATGTCAAATTTATTGTTGCTTAAACAGCTAGCAGGGCACATAAGCCCTATTCCAATGAATCATATTAACATTCATATTTACTGTAGACAATTCATATCAAAGCAAAGCAGTGGGCAGAACCTTCAGTCCTTTAGCTCTGTTTATGGCCCTGAGTGGACGCAGCACCCTCAGAACCCTCAGAATCTTCACCACTGAGATGGCTGATGATCTGCAGGAGACAGAAACGTACACGTTCCCAAAAAACATACAAAACAGAGACAGAAATCCATGCTTTAAAGTCCCTATGATGCTGGTGTCTCTGACAGGTTTCTGAACTAGCGTAACTAGCAAGACTTCCTTCGTCATCTAGCTTCATGGCACCATGAAGAGTTTTGTCTGTGAACAACAGCTAGACCAGCACCAAACCAGGCCAACTTGGCCTATCTCAGCTAGGTCAATTACACATTAATTTCATAACTCGTACTGTATTTTGCCAAAAAAAAGTTCTGAGGAAAAAGTGATACTTAAATGAAATATAACTGAGAAATCAGCAAAGAAAAAAGGCAAACTTTGAGCAAAGTCATGTTGCTCTCTTTCAATCAGGGAATATAATAGCGCTGTACAATCAGGGGGAAAAAAATCTAACTGTGATTGTTCTGATAAAAACTGCAATTGTGATTTAAAATGTAATTTAAAAAAAAGAAAAGATTGACTGTAGTGTGGCATTATTTGCCAAAAAGGTTGTGTAATTACAAATCAAAATGACTATAAAATAAATATAAAGATAAAAATAAACAAAATAAGAAATATTAATATTGTAATACCTTGGTATTAAGTAGAAATTACAGTCTAACTGTAATTTTTCTGATTTAAAATGTAATTAAAAAAAAAAGATTGACTGTAGTGTGGCATTATTTGGCAAAAAAGTTTTAGAATTATTTATAAAATTATTATACAAATTAAAAATAAGAAATATTAATATTGTAATACCTTGGTATTAAGTAGAAATTACAGTCTAACTGTAATTTTTCTGATTTAAAATGTAATTAAAAAAAAAAGATTGACTGTAGTGTGGCATTATTTGGCAAAAAAGTTTTAGAATTATTTATAAAATTATTATACAAATTAAAAATAAGAAATATTAATATTGTAATACTTTGCTATTAAGTCGAAATTAGAGCCCTTAAGAAAAAAATATAATTACTACTAAATACAAATATTTAAGAAATATAAATATTACTATTGTAATTTCACTGTAAAAAAATAAGTATTTAAGAAAAGTATTATTAATATTATTTTAAAATCAGAATATTAAAATAAGAAACATTACCTTTGTAATACTTCATTGTAAAATAATAATAATAATAATTTATAATAATGATAATAATGCATATTTATTTAAGTACATTTCAACCTTTGGGATTTAATAATCACACAATATTATGATTCCGGTTTTATATTAATTTACCGCACAGCCCTAAAATATAACGATCACTCACTGAATTCCGAAGGACACCAGCGACACGCCAACCACCAGCAGATCGAGAAGATTAAAGTAGTTCCTGCAGAAAGCCCCCTTGTGGAGAAACGCACCATACGTGGTCATCTGACAAAACAAGCATAGATGATCAAAACTTGATCCACCATAATGAAAGACAGACATAAGGAACAGCAAATCACACTCTCAGACAGAGAATACACCCTCACACACACACACACACACACACACACACACACACACACACACATATAGACAGAAACACACATATACACTCTTTAATATCACTCTTTTTAAGGGTGGCGTGCTCGGAGTTGGACTAAAGGCGAGATCCTAGCACTAACTCCGCCAAACCCTCACGGCCTGAGTCTACATGAATGTAGTAGTAAGCTCTGTTTCACAATCCGCCACTAGGGGGCCCGGCAATAAAACATGCTGTTTGTTGCCTAGCTTTGAAAGGGCCTAAATTATGACAGAAGTCAGAAAGAATACAGGAGGAGAAGACAAAAGAGCAAGAAAAGACAGAAAGAGTCAGAAAGAAAGGGAACAACCTATCTATTAGGCGATCTGAAATGAGAACTTCCCTTACTGTCACATTCATGTGAGCCGTTTTTTTTTTTTATCCTTGAGAACATTGCGCCCTGTTCCCTCGGCAAGATTCAGTAAAGAAAAGAGGGGGGAAAAGCTCCTACTGCAACTTCATATTCAGCAGGCAGAGAAAAGACCAGCCAAAACCAAAGCAAGTCGCTCCAAAATCATGAATGCAAAGGAGTCATTCGCTGAATGTATATGAATACAGATGCAACCACACACTAGAAGGGCAAGCACTGGGTTACATTAACATTACACCGCTAATCAGAGACCAATTTTGGGTAACTACATAAAAATGTTTCATGGAAACTGTACAATTTTTACCTAAAATGTTTTTAGTAGTTGCTGGTCCAAGATCAGCACTTCTAATCTCTCCACAAAACAATAGGGCCAAGTTCAGAATATTATATTAGCATACTATTTACTAAATAATGCACAGTACACACTGTATACTACTATTCTTTAAAATCATTTAATGACTGCAGTTTTCTACAGTATGTTGACATGTTTCCAATTGATAATAGCTAATAACCATGGACTAAAAGCAAAACAACTTCAAAATAGTAATAAAAGAGTTCAAAATCATTTCAAATAGTAGTATGCTAATAGTGTTGTAATGCACTGCATGCGAGTTGCGTCCAGTAAGCATCTTGAAAATATGTATTTTACATTTTTTAATGTCAATTTTGTACAAAAATGTGTTATTTTGGCAATCTGATTCAAAAAAATTAGTTAAACATGTAATTATGAAAAAAATATGAGTTATTTCCGGGTTCATTCATTACATTAGAAATGTACTGTAAGTAATGCACACTGAATTGTGGGTAACACAATACTATATATGTGTGTGTTCAGGGTCCAAAAGCATCAAATGTGTAAAAAATGGCTTCTAAGTTATTAAATTAATAAAAGTAGTTGCCTAGTGACTTGAAGAATTGGAAACATAATATATAGATTTAAGATTTAAGGAATGACAGTCTAACGTTCTAAAGTTTTTCTTGTTTTTAAAACCTGTGGTGACACATTTTTGGCAAATAGAACAATCGTGTCAGGAAACAATTCAAAAGGTTTTTCTCTTCAACTGGCTAAACAACTTTACCATAGAAGGCTACTAATAATTTCTCAAATTGTGTTACTATAGCTCAAATCAACTAAAAATAAAATAAAATATACATAAAAATGTATATAATATACAAATAAAAATAAATAAAAATGTAAACCTAAAAAAAATGATGGGAAAAGGTATACTGGCAGTTACCTTAAATCATTTTAAATTACTGAAACTGAAAAATAATTGAAAGGTAAATAGAAAAAAATATATACTACAAATAGGACTGTAGTATGATTTTCTGAACACAGCCAGAGAGAGAATTACTGCAGCTTCATTAAACAACTGTGCTGCCCCGTTCAGCGCTGGAGGTCACATTGCATTGATATGCACTCAGTCAAGGGGTTTGAACCATGTTCTGTCCAAGCATGGTTGTATGTGCCCCCTCTTTTATGGACTGGATACAGGCCAATCGGTTATGAAGGCATGAGAGGCAGTGTTGTTCTCATATCACAAAGAGTTGCATAGTTTCGTCTTTTTGAAATTAGATTCTTTCCTCAACAAAAAGCATTTTAGTTTCACAAGACACATCCTGTGTGATTTCTCCCAACTTCCTTAACCCCACTTTGACCAATCAGGGTTGAGTTCTCCCCAAAAGAAAGCTGAAAACCTGACAACTCTTGTGCTTTGATGAAGACGTGCTTTCATGTTCTGAAACATTTCTTTTCTTTTAGTCTTTTAGTAAAAGAGGTGCCATAGTTTAAAAAAAGAGAAAGAAAAGAGATTGATCAAGCCAGGTAGTACTGAAGTAGCAGGTGACACACATGGAGATAATGCAGCCAGGCCTGTCTGCCGAGAGGTTACCTTCAACACGATCTCAAATGTAAACATACTAGTGAAGACATAATCTGCATAGCCTAGGACCTGGAATAAACCAGACGGTTACAGCGTTACTGCACATACACCACACACAACACCAGCACAGGGCAGGACATTTACCTTTAACACGATCTCTACAGTAAAGATAGCCGTGAAAGCATAGTCAAAGTAACCAAGTATCTGCAAAGAGCAACGTACATGTTTAACAAGGACATTCAGCAATCATCATTTGTTATCAGAATAGAAATAGATTTAGAACTGTAGGTACAGTATATGTTGTTTAGTTTAGTTCATGATTCCAGGTGTACCAGTGTGTCTGTAACGGTAACACCCCAAAAATATTACGCTTTCAGTGAAGGTAGCTTCCTTAGTTTGAAGGAAAAGAGTTAGCAAACACGAAGAGATGAAGGAATAACAGACGCACAAAGCAACTGTAAGTGCTTTGGAAAAATCGTATTTAATCATAAATTTAAACTTTTTTTTATCTTCACAATCCGAGTACACGGAGTCATTCTTAACCAATAACAATAAATGTAGTATTTTTACAATATTCATATGTGAAAATAAAAAGTTTACTTGATAACAATTAAATATCACTTACCATGTTGTTTTAGTTGAATTGATTGAGTGTGTGACTCATTAATGTCCAATGTTTTGGACATTAATAAGTAACCAAACCAAATTGTTTGTGTGTATGTCTGTGTGTGCAATTTGTACTCACAATATTCCGGGCAGAGAAGTTTCTGATTGGGTCCTCAGCTGCCAAGGAGGCGGAGCTTAACATAATGAAAACGAGGATGAGATTGGTGAAGATGTGGTGGTTTATCAGCTTGTGGCACGCGACACGAATTCTACAAAGAGAGAGAGAGAAAAAGACACACTGAAACACATCTTGAACACTATATGTGCGTTTGCAGGGTTCAGAAGCTTTAAATATTGTTGTTTTTTTAAACGGCTATTCTAAGTATTTAAAACGAAAAATTCAGTTGCCTTGTGACATTAGAAACTAGAACTAGAAAATAGTAATTAGAAACGTGGATTTCATGTAAATACAAGGAATTGTAAAAAGTAATTGAAAAATATTTAATAAAATAAAATACTGATAGATTAAAAAACGTAAACTTAAAGAAATAAGCACTAAAATTACTAAAACTGAAATATAAATAAATTAAAGCTAAATATATATTAGTGCTGTCCAACGATTAATCGCATCCAAAATAAAAGTTTTTAGTTTACATAATATATGTGTGTATACTGTATATACTTATGTATACATATACATACATAAATACACACAATATTTTGAAAATATTTCCATTTATATATTTATATAATTTATATTATATACAAATATTTTAAATGTATAAACATAATTTTTTTTTCTTATATATACATGCATGTGTGTACCTAGAATGCAATGCAAGCAGTTTTGTATACATGTAAATGTAATTCAAAGTAAAATGAGAGTGACTAATTTTATATATACTGTATGTATAGTATATATGTAAATGTCTAAATGTCTCTTTGCTCCTGTTTGGTTCTGTGCAAGTTTGAGCAGACTTCAATGTGACACATACGGGTTTGTGTTGCTAAAGATGAAGAACGCACTGCCCTCTGGGATTGGCGTGATTTTCTCCTTCTTAATGAGCTCTGAGATCTGTGGGCGGGGCCCCGCAGGAACGTCCGGCTCATCTTCATCCTCCTCTGTTACATGGACATGATGATCAGGACAAGCATATTTAAAAAAATTGTCTTCAATGTGCAAATACATGCAGATGTAGTTCTTTACCTGCATTGTCCTTCTCATCCTCCTCTCCAGCCTGAAGGAGAGAAGCCAACATTATTATATGCTACTACTAACACAGAAAAAATGTAATACAAACACACACACCAACAAAACACAATTACCTACCTTGGCATCTTCTTCATTTTCCTCGTTTTCATCACTTGGAAAAAAAGAAAACAAACACACTCAAAAATGCAGCACACAAGCAGTGGAAACCAGATCCAGGCCCTCACCGTCAGATTAAATGATCTCTACAAGCTTTTATAATTTACCCTTTCTTCTTATCGCCGCTGTCTGTGTTCAGAGACTCTGCGTCGGCAAGGTTGTCCACAGCAATAGCCAAGAACACATTCAGAAGAATGTCTAGGTGTCAATGTGTTAAGCAAACCAACAATATTATTATGCTCATAAGCGAACAACAAACAGTCTATCTGGAATAAAATGCAATGGAATACTTGCAATTATGAATGCACACTGTAAAAATGCAATACTTTTAGTCTTTTTAAAATATTCTGTATATCTTGATATTTATGTATTTGCTATGAAATAGAAACACACTCACACATATATAAATAAGTGTGTGTGTGTGTATAATACATGTAATGATTTTTTTTTTCTTTGGATCTTGGCAACTTATGTCACTGTGAGTGTGAACGGTGGGAAAATGCTTAAAAAAATCTCTTTTTGTTTTTTTTTGTGGCGCAAATAACTGCATACCTGTGTGCAGATTATATCAAAACAATTTCCCAAATTCATTCAAATTGCACATTGTCCACGGATACACGGAGATATTTTTAAATAAATTTCTTATGCACACCCAGGCTGCATTTATTTGATAAAAAATACAGTAAAAACAGTAATTTTGAGAAATATTATTACAATTAAAAAAAAAACATTCTATTTGAATATACTTTAAAATTAAACTTATTCCTGTGATGGCAAAGATGCTTATTATTTGTGGGGAAAGAGTCATACAGAATTGTTTTTTTTTCAGGGTGACTAAAAAGTTATATGCATTTACATAAAAATAAAAAGAACACCATTTATTTGAAAGACTACAAAAGGTTACAAAATATTTCTGTCACTTTTGATCAATTTAATGCGTCTTTGCTGAATAAAATGTGTTAATTTCTTAAAAAAAAAAACAAGATAGTTAACAACTAACCCACAACTAGATTACCACTAGTAGATGAACTGACTCCTTAATGAAATTTAGTTTTTTTGGGGGGTTTTAGGTTAGTAGGTCAGCAGCAGTAAGAGGATACAGTTTCCACAAATGAACAGAATGATAAAGTAGATGCACACAATCATTCCTGATGTGGGAAAATGCTTAAAAAAATCTCTTTTTGTTTTTTTTTGTGGCGCAAATAACTGCATACCTGTGTGCAGATTATATCAAAACAATTTCCCAAATTCATTCAAATTGCACATTGTCCACGGATACACGGAGATATTTTTAAATAAATTTCTTATGCACACCCAGGCTGCATTTATTTGATAAAAAATACAGTAAAAACAGTAATTTTGAGAAATATTATTACAATTAAAAAAAAAACATTCTATTTGAATATACTTTAAAATTAAACTTATTCCTGTGATGGCAAAGATGCTTATTATTTGTGGGGAAAGAGTCATACAGAATTGTTTTTTTTTCAGGGTGACTAAAAAGTTATATGCATTTACATAAAAATAAAAAGAACACCATTTATTTGAAAGACTACAAAAGGTTAAAAAATATTTCTGTCACTTTTGATCAATTTAATGCGTCTTTGCTGAATAAAATGTGTTAATTTCTTTAAAAAAAAAAACAAGATAGTTAACAACTAACCCACAACTAGATTACCACTAGTAGATGAACTGACTCCTTAATGAAATTTAGTTTTTTGGGGGGGGTTTTGTTTAGTAGGTCAGCAGCAATAAGAGGATACAGTTTCCACAAATGAACAGAATGATAAAGTAGATGCACACAATCATTCCTGACGATGATGGGCCGCCATATGCCATAATTCCATCGTACATGACGGCATTCCAGTCTTCACCAGTAAGAATCTGAAAACAACACATCACATATCAGAGTAAACACATATCCCATCAAAATCTAAAGACTTAACAGATGCACACAGACAGACCTGAAACACAGTGAGCAAGGCCTGAGGGAAGTTGTCAAAGGTGCTCCTCTTCGTTTGTGTCTCATCGAAGTTAAACTTGCCGCCGAACACCTGCATACCGAGGAGGCTGAAGATGATGATGAAGAGGAAGAGCAGCAGCAGTAGAGAAGCGATGGACTTCATGGAGTTCAGCAGAGATGCCACCAAGTTACTGAGAGACGCCCAGTGACTAAAGGCAAAAAACAAACCATATAAAAGTGTCCTGTGCTCTATACAAATATTTGTCGTATTCCATTAACATAATTTTCATTCCTTACCGTGTGACTTTAAAGATCCTGAGAAGTCGCACACATCGAAACACTGAGATGCCTAGAGGTGACATGATCTCAAACTCGACTAGGATGGTCTCTGTGATGCCTCCACACACCACGAAGCAGTCAAAGCGATTAAACAAAGACACAAAATAAGCCTGCAGGCCCAGACTGTACATCTTCACCAACATCTCGCACGTGAACAGGGCCAGCAGCACTTTATTGGCCACATCTACAGGAGAAAACCAATCGTGTTGAAAGAAGAAAGAACATAGTGAGAATGTTAAGCAGTCTTGATCTTTTACATTTATTGCGAGAGCACAAACACATGTAGGGCTCACCCTGGACTTGCGTGAGCCACAAGGGCTGGTTGTAATGTTCTGAAGAGATGGTCAAAGTGTTGAGGAACACCAGGATGATCACCAGCCAATAGAACGGCACAGATTTCACAGCCAAACGACAATTCCTCCGACACAACCGGTTCCAGCGACGCCAGCGCCGACTGAAAGAGACGGCAGTGAAGTCAGACAACACAGACACATAGAGAAAAAAATGACAACAGAATTATACATTGAAAGAAGGAGATAAAAATAGAATGAACAGAGAGATACTGAAGAATGCTAGATAGAGAGAACGCAAAACACTAGATTAGGCAGAACTCTAAACAGAACAATAGAATGCTACTGTAGATAGACAAGATGCTAGAATGCTAAACAGAACAGTAGAATAATACAGTAGATAGACAGACAGCCGATAGATAGAATGGCAGACAGCACACTAGACAGACCAATTCCTAGAACACACGATAGATAGGATACTGCAATGTCAGGACTTTAGCATACCATGATAGCATGCTAGATAGAAAAGTAGCTAACATTACAGACTGAATGCTAGATTATTTTGATTCATATGCTTTTTGAACAACAGAAAAGCATTCATCCTTGCTGAGAAAAAACAACAGAAACCATCAGAAATTTTAATGGTTTCCACTACAAATACCATTACAAACCATCAACTTGTAACCATTAAAAGATGGTTTCCTATAGTGTGTTTTGGGACATAGTCCATTAGGATTTAGTGGTTTTAAAAAGCCACCAATAGAGGGTATGCACGTGACATCACCGTCAGCTGGATTGAATGTGGCTCTGCCCACTGAGTGGCAGAAAGACTCAATGGCAGCATTGGTTTTCAGCGTGAATGCTGCGACAGAACACACAAAACACATCTAAAATGAGAAACAGCTTTGCGAGTGACTGTACAAACAGATTTGTCAAGAAATCTGAGGTTTATTTTTACAGACTGCCGAAAGCTACAGAAAGGAAAAGCAAATGGATCCTTGCAATTCAGAGAAACAAATGGACTCCAGGCAGCGAAACAGATTTGCAGTTATCATTTTATGTTAATATGTTGAATTTTGGGGTAAAATCATACCCTATATATATTGTATTGTTATATCGTACTGACAACTCATCAACTTCCCTTGTATATATATGTATATATATATCATTGATACTAGGGGTGGGACAATATATCGATATAGCGATATATCATTGTCCTTCTCCATGTGATACGAGAATCGATATCTGGCGCCAAATATCAATATTTTAATTACTACAATAAGGCGCTCTAAATAGATTTCCCTGCTCCCAGCGTCTAAAAATTAGTGGAAATTGTGATCGTGCCATTTCCTTCCAAAGCGCTCTCAGCAACCATGAACCGCGTTCTCAATGAAGATGGGGAAGCAGGAAGAACCGAAGGATAAACAGATTTCCAGCCACTGAATTAGCTCTACTGCTATATATATATATGTTTATGGAGATGAGAACTAAAAAACTGCCCCGGAACAGCTATCAGCGTGGACCATAGACACCGATCACATTATTATTGCAGAGCTAGGGAGTTAGGGGTGCCCGAAGCGTGAATCCTTATAAGGGAAAACACGATTCCTAACACCGTGTCTACACCGGACGCGAGTGGTGCGGCGTTAAAAAATACTATGGAAACACTGATCTAAAATAGAGATTTATTATATATAGATCAGTCTATAGAACTCATTACAGACAGACTTTAGCTGATGCGGCGGGGCACGGCGTGACACGACAACTGTCGCATCCGGTGTAGACACGGTGTAACGGTTGCCTGTTACATTACAGTACATAACATTTCACTTACCACATAAACAGAGTAAGGAGAGATGACTGAGGACGATGGCGAATGATTTGCAGATCCTCAGTACCACTGACAAACATATAATCTTGTAAAATCTCCATAGTATAAACAGAGTACGTGCGATCGCGAATCTCGAAAATTAAAGTGAAACTAAAAGTGATCGTGCATTCAAAAGCACGATGCCAGTTTCAATGCCAGGCTCAACATCGTGATGTCTATCAGCCATCGGTCTATCGGCCCAACCCTACTTAGCATGTTAAATTTGATTTACAGAACTTTTGTGCTGTTTTCTAACAGTTTGGACTTGAAGAGAGAAAACTTGCACTTAAACTTTTCACAGGCATTTTGTTTTCATAGATTATATATTGTGATGTATCATTATATAATTGTCTAGCAATATATAGATTATCGCAGAATCGCTGTATCGTGAGCCATGTATCATGATTCATATCGTATCATGAGGTACCCTGCGATTCCCACCCCTAATTGATACAATTGATCACCCAGATTTAGACCAACATATTTTGTATTTACAAAATGCGTTCACTGGCAAATTTGCTCCGGCGTTGAAATCAGGTATATGTAAATGTCATGAAACATGATTCCTGGCTGCATATCAATATTCATGGACCACTGGATCTTTGGTAAATTTTAAGGAACACTATATTGAGTCCAACGACCTTTAGTTTAAACTGATTATCGTTTATTTTGCTCAGGTTTTTGCAGCTTCCCTATTAAATCCAGTCATGCAACAGGCTCTTTTGCCACTCAGTTCGGCTGAGGGGGCACATTCCGGCGGGAAAGTGACGTCAATGCATACCCTCTATAGAAGGCAACCAATTACCAGTAGAAACCCACAGGGTCCATTACAGTTTCCTTTAACACCAATACAAGTCCAATTATAACCAGTAAAACCATTACAAATTTGTGATGGTGTCTATCGTTTTCTTCAGTAGGGTGAAAGATTTACATATAAAGACTGAGATGACAGAATGCTAGCTAGAATGTTCTCTAGCAAGCTAAACAGACAGAATGCTCAACACATAGAATAGACAGACTAAAGGCTAGCTAGCGAGATGCTAGAACGCTATCAAGCTAGCTAACATTTTATCTATCTGTCTAGCATTCTATCCCAGTGTTGCTAGCTAGCAAGCTAGATAATGAAAGCTCACAGTAATACATGCAATAACGTGCAGCTGTAAATAAACTGTAAATGAACATTAGCATGAGCTAATCTCAACATTACTGACCTGAATTTTGATTTAGAAATTTTTTGACTGTAAATGAAAACAAATTGTAAAGTTAAAACAGAAACCAGAGTATTCACATGTGTTCTTGATACAGCATATTACAATTGGTATTCATTACTGATGAAATATACATTCATGTGTATTTGTGAGTTTTCTCACCATGTTGGGCCACAACATGTTGCCTTCTCATCTTCTTTCTCAATTTCTGTATTCATGGATTCTGTCTCACTTGCCGGCATACTCGCTATTGTGTCACAAACACAAGGTTCATCATACACACATTAAAACACATACTTCCCACATACTCTGCCAAGAAAGATTTAGTGGACAAAAACTTGAAAAAACATTCAACAAGATAATGAGATTGAGACACATTCTTGGTGAAACCCAATTCCAGTCAAAAGCTCAAATTATAAATATAATGTGCACTGTTTTGAAGGAGAAAGGCTAAAAAGAGTGAGCATTGCATGTGCAAAAAAATTATATATGAATATAACTCAGTATAAATGTAATTTCTAAGCTCTGACATGATGCAATTTGATCTTGAACTTGCCAACGCTTCTTGGTATGTGTGGTAAGTGACTTCTTGCTAACACTTTACAAAGTGGGTACGTTATAATTAGTTAATGCAATAGTTAACATGAACAGACAATAAACAATACTTTTACAGCATTTATTCATCTTGTTAATATTAATTTTTTACATGCATTAAAATATACAAAAAGTAAAAATATAATACATGCTAACATGCATTATGTAAAAATATGCAATAAATATTTATAAGTTATATATACACATAAACGCACTGCAAATTCATTGAAATTAGTGCAATTCACCATGCTCTTTTTGTTTTTATTACAGTCCAAAGACAGTAATAAGCGAGTGTGATCAGACGTTTGTGACTGCTGTATAAACTGCTGACCATGAGCCTGGTGATCTGGGTTTAACCTCATTTCTATGTTAGAAACTCACTGTCACTGTTTTAAAGTGGGATTTTTAAATTGGAGAGATCTGCCGGATCTGATCTCTGACTCACTCTTGATTTTGAGAAAATGAGTATGAGAGGACTAAATTAGTACAGGAAGGAAGAAACGGGCAAGCGAAGAGTTTGCTAACACTAATGTTGTGGAAAAACTGATGGGAACAAAGAGCATAAGCGCTGATGGGCATAAAGAAGGAAAACTCACACTTGCAAAGCACAAGTAGCACGATTAGGAATTAGCAGTGCATTCACACACTACAGCGTCCACATAAACATCACACACATGGATATTATTAGCTTAAATACATACTTCCGTACAGGCCAAAATGGGCAATTTGTGCATAAGTCAATGATTAATACAAATATGTATTCACTACCATTCAAAATTTTGGAGTCACTATGATTTTTATTTTCTAAAGAAGAAATTGTTACTTCTATTCAACAAGGATGCATCAAATTGATACAAAATTACAGTAAAGGCATTTAGAATGTTACAAAAAGTCTATTAATAAAATCTGTATGATGTTCTTTTTTTTTACTTTATATTCATCAAAGAATTCTGATCAAATGTATCACTGTTTCCACAAAAATATTAAGCAAAATATAAGTAATATAATATAATATTCCTCAAAAGAATAGGATCATGTCACACTGAAGACTGGACTAATCATGCTGAAATTTCAGTTTTGCATCACAGAAATAAATTACATTCTAACATATATTCAAATAGAAAACAGTTATTTTAAACGGTAATATTATTTCAGAATTTTACTGTATTTTTTGCTGCAGTAAAATACAACATTGGTTAAATCTTCTTTCTAAAACATAAAAAAACTTTTGAACAGTAGTGAAAAGTGATTTTATTACAGTTAGAAACCCAATGAAAATCCAAGTTTTTGCTTTATGCTCATTTCTGTTAGCTTTGAGGTCAACTATATATGCCTAAAAGTAACATTTAACAGCTAAATGCAATCAAAATGCATGTCAATTCTGTGAAAACCGACCAAAAATACTGAAAAATTGCTGATATGCCCCACCCCAACTTCCTGTTTCAATACAAGGAATTGTAACATGGGAAAATAAATGAAGGGTATTGCTTAAATCCCCCTAGTGAAAAATAAACATACTAAAATGTATTTTAAATACATTTATTTCATGTTAAGTACACTGTGAATACATTTACATATTTATGTACTTATGTAAAAATACACTGCAATTGTACTTTTATTATACTAAACTGGTATACTTAAAGTCAGATAACTTGGAACAACTAATTTTGTACTTAATGCACATTAATTGTGCGGAAGTAGTGCTAAAGTCACACTAAAGATATACTGAAGTATATTTCGAATTATTGCAAGTATACTTTAGGTACACTTTAAATATCTCACATTTAAAGACTGTTATTATTCAAATATCATACAATCTTCATCAATAGTGACATTAAAACACATTTAAGGCTTAAAATTAATAAATGTGCATTGTGCACAAGAAGTACTCCAAATAGAGTTTAATTATCATTTTTATATCAGTAAGTCTCGAGCGATATGTCAGAAAATATGTTAATAGATTTGAACTATACTTAGTATGAAATAAATGTATTTTAAATATATTACTTTTTACTAGGGCCCACTTAACTGTAGTAAAATCACTGTAACTTGTCATGGATTATTACTTTCATACTGTAAATTGGTGTAATGTTGTAAATAATAAAATCAATGAATAATAATAATTCCCCAAAAAACATGAGTGAATTAATTCAGTATCCCACTAGAAATATCAGTCAATTTTGTAACCTGGTATCTAATAATGTTTTCCAATCAGATTTTAAATGCAGAATCAGTCACTTTAAAATGCCTATTAAACAAACACTGTACAAGGCTTCTAACAGGTAATATTCATGAATATCATCAAGTTATCACACATATGAAAGGGACAGAAGGGTGGGAGGGAGATTTACCATGAGTGTCAGAGGACTGGCTGAACCAGCTAAAGCCTTTCTTCTTCTTCTCCATCAGGCTGGCCAGTGTAACCCCTTCATTTCCCATGCACCCAAAGCCCATGCATGATTTACACAGCACAGCACAGCCGCGGCACGGTCATGGGGGCGAGAACGAGTAGCCACATCAACACAGGTTAAAGCACAGGAACAAGAACAACACCGACACAACAATTAACAACAATAAACAACAACATCAACATTGAGGCAGCTGGTCAGCTGGATGGGAGCAAAGGATGATGGGTAGTTAGTTAACAGTGAGCGAGAGCAGGTTATTAGGATCACAGTGCAATGAATTCAGTGAAAACATAGGAACATTGTGAGGGACCAAGTGTTGAGATTCAATGGTGCAGATGATAGAGATCTGTGTGGATGTGTGTATGATATGAAGCTGACCTTTGACCCTGATGGCCCCCACATACATTCATAGTAAGTTAACCAGCGTATAACTTATATTTAAAAAAAGGCCTCTTGGAAGATTAATATAATTTCTCATACTGAGTCTACACAATTAATCAAATAAAAATTGTTTAAAAATGGTACAAGTCAATAGAGATGAAAACGCCGGTTTGATATTTGATTGGAAATGCAGGGCATTATTTGTATTTTGTTGACTTATTGAAATTACTTATTGAAAATTAACAACCAATTTACACCGACATCTAAAATGATCAGAAATATAATGTGTACATACACAGCAGGCTAATCAAATGAAATACAGTAAAATTTATTTTTTTTAATGTGATTTTATGCCATTTCCTGGTGTCTAAGCAACAGCATTGAGATGCTGATTGTTATATCACAGTTCAAAATTAAAACCATTAAAAAAAGGCTACTTGAAATAAAATTAGCCTGACCTGAAATAAAATTAAATAAGAAAACTTTTATTTTATTTGAGCTAGTTGCCAATTCAACTATCTTTTTTATTTTTTATTTAGTTTACAGTACCTTGATGTATTAAAATAAACTAAAACTGAAATAAAAATAATAAAAATTACAGACACACTTAAAAAATAACTAACAAAATGAACAGCAAAATTACTACAAATTTATTACTTACATTTTTATATTAAAATATTAACAAAAGCTATAATGATATATCTAACAGTGATACTTTTTTACACTGATTTTTACAATCTAAGCGTATGGTCTAAAGCGCATGGCCTTGATGCACTTAGGGCGTGTCCGAATCCACTTTTGCTAGTTTAACGACGGGAAAATGGTCGGCGCGCCCGGGCGCATGGTCTAAACGGGTTGTCCCTATTCTCTTAATGAGTAATGGGTGTTTTTTGGGCATAACGTGCAAAAAAAGTCCCATCTCCCATCCCCTTTAAAAGCCAGTTGCGCTCGCGCCATGGTGGGTTCGCTATTTACATGGCAGAATGTAAGTGTGTGTAATAAGCAAAGTGTGCGCACGTTGTGCACCCGCCTATAGGCGCATATTACTAATGCGCTCTTTAAATAACAAAGAAAAAATATTGCGCCAGACTGACCAGGTTTGAGTTGGTCAATGGCGCAGTCTATTTTCAGTTCCTCAAAATAGCAACGCACCAACAATGCGCCTGAACACACCTCTTTTCTAGACCAGCACGCCCATGGGAGCACAGATGGGCACAAATGCATTTGCTATTTAAACAACGCAGTGCAGGATGGGAAAATGAGAACTGCGTCGGGCTGAAACTAGCAAAAACACTAAAATTCTGCTGAGGTGAAATTCAGTGCAGTCTTGTACCGTGATATGTATCGTATCGTGGCATCTGTATCGTGATACGTATCGTATCGTGACATTGCTGGTGATACACAGCCCGCATTAAAGAGCGCCAAAAACAAAACTGTATTTATTGTTTGAATTTCGTTGAATTTTGAATAATTTTAAAGCTGATACTTTGTTTATTAAAAAGTAACAAAGCACAAAGCTTTTTGCGATTACTGGACGGCAAGTGCGCTTCAAATAATGAAGTTCACTCATTAACAGAACACAGCATAGACCTAAGATCTTGTTAAGAACAAGCCATATTATTAATGATTATAAACGAGAATTGTTAACGATATTGCCAATCAGGAAAAAAGGCATTACATGCAAATTTTTAAGTTATAACATGTAAATACATAGGCCTAGTCGACCTCAGCAAAAACTTCACTCGCAATTTAATATTTTTGGTCGCACATGTGCGACTGTTTTAGAGCCCTGCCTAATTTTCCTTACTGTGAAGATAAATTCAACTAAGAAACAAAATTGCATAGAACATTACAATTTATGTATAAAACTGCATAAAAAAGTGAATTTTGTTTTTTTCACGTTTATTCTTTCAAGTTTATGCTTAAAATAAGTAATAAATCAATTGCTTCTATCTTGTTTCCAACAGCTTTTACAGGAAAACAAGACAAAGATACTGATTAAGAATGGAAATATATTCTCTTCTAAGAGATTTTGTGAACTTGTGCGAGCGGAAACAGAATTCAGCTTCCTTTTCCATTTGCAGAATAAGTTCTGCATAAATGCTAAGCCTTCCAGACAAGTGACTTTTGTGGGTCTGTTTCAATCAATTAAAGCAACAAAAAAAAAACCCGCTTTCAGAAAGCAGCCTGCTAATCTAACCTGACTGTCCTCTCACAGAACCGAGGTCAGTCAAAGAGCTCCAGTGACAGTGGAAGCTGTTGCAGCGGCTCTAACCGCTCAGAATCATGTGTGCTGCTTATATAAAAGGGATTAGGATTAGTCCTTATTTTGCTCAGTTTCTCCACTTCATGCCCTTCTGAGCAAACTCCTCTCTCTCAGCAGATAGCCAGCTAACAGGAAACCTTCTCAGAATGTTCTGTCAAGGTTCTCTCAACGTTATAAACAATATTTGCAAAATGATAACATAGAATGTGGATGGAAGTATGATGAACCCTAGTTCTCCAGTTTCCAGAATCAGCTACTGCTGTCAGTCCCGTACCGAACCCTCTGACCCGGAGACACTTGACTTTGACAAATCTGCGCTTCGGCAGGAGAGACAGCACTTGTGGCGTCAGAGCATGTTGACTGCTACTCCTCAACTATTTCATCACAAATACACCAGAGGCAGCTGTTTTGGGTTTGCTGACGTCTGTTCTGTGTCACGCTGCATTTTGATGGGCATGACGGGCCAATTAACTCTTTCCCCGCCATTTATGAGTTATCTCGTCTTTTAGAAGACAACGCTTCCCTGCCAAAGATGAGTTTTTCTGGCTTTTCGTGTTTTCACTGTTATACACACAGGGTCGCTATTACACATCTTCTGAACGAGTACAAAACCTCCCGAACAAAAACACACGTGAACAGGATGGAGAAACTAGCGATCTCTTATGTAAACAGATGCATATGAAAAATAATGCGATCATCAGCAATAGACAGCATATAAATGAAAACTGCATAATGTTACGGAGTAAAATGTTGATCCAGGAAATGGTATATGTCTGTGCAAGCTTTGGAGGTATTGATGGAAGCGATTTACTGGATTTATGCTTTGATAATCGTACTGAATATTATTCAGATGTAGTTTTTGATAAAGTGATTTTCTCACCTTTTTGCTCAAAATTATGCATTTTTTATGAAACCTACCTATATTCAAGTGTTGATAAAGATAGAATATAACAGATTTTTTTTGTTTAAAAGTAGAGGCTCTGATCTTTATTTTGGTGTATTGCATATTCAAATATTCATACAGCAAAATATACTGGAGGCCATCAAATTTTAGTGAAAATCATTAAAATCGCTGGCGGAGGCTGGCAACTTTTTTCAAAAATGCTGGCGGGGAAAGAGTTAAAGATGGCTCTGTGGCTGCTACAAAATGCTGCAAATCTTTGGTTGTACTTACAAATCAGAAAACTGCGACGCTCACTGAGCAAATTTCATTGGTTCAACACAAAATACAAATAATTAATTTTGACTAATTAGGCCTATTGATTCCTTAATATTTAGAATTTTTCAGCATTTTTATTAACTAAACAAATAATGCATACAGCTATTAAGCACCGCAATCTCAACGACACTGTTTTCAGATCATTATTTAATACTGCATTCTGCGAGATGGACTGTTGCATAAAATAAAAGTCAATTATTAAATGTAAAAAATTAAATACACTACCATTTAAAAGTTTGGGGACTGTATGCTTTTTTTTAAAGAATTGAATACTTTATTCAGCAAATATGCAGAAATTAATGAAAATTGACAGTGAAGACATTTATAAGAAAAAAATTATATTTCAAATAAATTGTTCATTTAAAGTTTTTATTTATCAAAGAATCCTGAAAAAAAAAAAATTCCACAAAAATTAAGCAGAATAACAATCTTCTCAGATTTCGTCAACACCCTGTTGCTTTAATATGTGATGTGGAGAAAATGTTCCATCAGTTCCATCTGTGCAAGGCAGACGGAGACTTTCTGCAATTCTTGTGGTGGAGAAGTGGAGACTTGAAAGAACAACCACAAGAATATAGAATGAAAGTTCATCTCTTTGGAGCGTCTTCATCTCCAGGATGTGTGAATTATGGATTGAAGCATTTGGCTGAAGGTAATAAGGATCAGTATCCTTTGGGCTTTGACTTTGTAATGAATAACTTTTATGTAGATGATGGTGTTACAAGTGTCCAGACAACAGAGGATGCAATTCAGCTTGCTCGAGAAGCTCGAGAACTTTGCGCTATTGGTGGTATTAGACTTCACAAATTTGTGTCCAATGACAAAGCTGTTTTGGAAAGTATCCCTCCTTCAGAATGTGCTAACGATATAAAAGAACCTGATCTTTTGTTTGACAATTCCTTGATAGAGCGAACACTGGGAATTCAGTGGAATGTGGAACTTGACTGTTTTAAGTTTGATGTTTGTCTCAAGGAGCAGCCAGCAACTCGACGTGGAATCTTGTCTATGATTGCATCATTGTATGACCCATTAGGGTTTTTAGCTCCATTCATCCTTCGTGGAAAGAAGATACTTCAGGAAGTATGTAGACAGGGTGTAGGTTGGGATGACTCACTGAGTTATGAGTTCCAGCCAAGGTGGGAGTGCTGGAAA